CCGCTGTTGCTTGCACAGCAGTGACCATGATCAACCTCATCATTGTCGTCAATATGACCATGAGTCCCGCTAGGTTGGCAACCGAGCTACCAGCGGGTGTGTTTTTCATCGTTGATCTTTTCAAGGCCTGTTTGGTTGCTATTGCTGGTTTTTGAAATTCGATTACCAGCGGCAGCGCAGCCACAATTCTTATTGCAGCTACTCTTGCTGTTACTACAAGTAGCTGTAGCGGTTTGTGTTTTTCGTGGTACTACTTGTGTCTGTATGACAGCACGTGTGACTTTTGATGAGGTTCGGGTATTGGATGTTGTCCCCCCACTGATTCTGAAACCTCCATGGAGTTCCATCTGATAAACCGCCCTAGACCCCTGTAAACCTTGCATGGAATCCTCTAAGACTTTCCGAAAGCCCGATAAGATGTCGCAAGACCCATATTGGAACCCTAATCAATTTGATTAGGATCCCAAGAGTCCGGCCAGAAGCGCTGTCAGGCTGACTGGTATGGTCGAACCCTCCTCGGGCGACGCAGCCACTTCGGCAAGATTTGCGACGAGGGAGTTGTTTTGGGCTTTATTGGTTTAGTGTTTAGGGCATATATGGTTTATAGGCAGTTGTTTAGGAAGCGTTTTTGTTTTTTTGTTTTCGGTGTGCAAGGTCTTAGGGTTCAGGCGTTCGTGGTTTAGGGTTTGGGATCTTGACAACGGCGATTGCTGATCAATGGGCGAGGGCTGCCATGATCGGGTCATCGCCCTTGGCACAGGCTATGAATTGAGCTTTAAACCTTTCTGATACTCATTTCCATGATTGTCAGACTTATTATGATAATGATTGTTTTTTGTTATTGTCGTTATGACGATGGTGTGCAAGCATTCTGAGCTCTTCATGATCTCGTTTGTCCAGGAATCCTTAGAGCCTTTTCCCTCAAGTAGGCGAGCCTGCAATGTAAGAATCGAGATTTTGAGCGGTTCAAAAGACTCTATTTTTGGTGCTTCCATTGGAGCGTAATGCAAGCAGGTAGTATTGGCAAGCGATCGGCCTATATAGTCTGTGCTGCAGGACCAGATCCCTGTCGGCGCAGTCCCTTAACCCCAATCCCCGACCCTGAACTTGAAATCGCTCATCCCTGAACCCATGCGTCCTTCAGGTTATTGCGGGCCACCGCCTCAGCGATGGCATCCGCGAAATCCGCCAGGCACCATCGCGATCCCCAAAAGTAGTAGCAGAGTATCTTACACAAAGCTCATGAAGGCTACAGGATAGATTTTGTATGATAAAAAACAAAAAGGCAGATGAGATGGTGATCTCAACATACTGCGTATACTGTCTGCTCTTTCCGGGCTTGCTTGGTGTGTTGTAGGACTACATCACAAGGGCTATCGAAAGTATGCTCCTAATCCCCAAACCTCAAGATGATTCATCGGAGATAACATCAGTCCTTGGTATACTTGCTGTCGTTGGTCGCCATGGTTATCATCATCTTCATGATGATCATCATCAAGAGCAGCATGCCGTCGAGATTTTGCTTTGGCAGCCCTATTCCTTGAACACATGCATCTGATCGCCGGAGTCCCCGGCCAGAGTTCTCTCTAAGCTTTCCTGGCATGCCCTGAGACTCCAAATCAAGATTAGCTGAGGATTTTTGCTTTTTCTGAGCCTGGCCATATTGCTTTCCGCACACGCTGATGTATTGCTTGTACTAACCCCAGCATGACTTCCCGCTGTAGGCACGGCCTGGTGTGATCATTTCCTGAGTCATTGACGCGAAGTAGCGGTGGAAGGTAAAGGCAGACGTTTTCAGACACTCTGCTTTCATTGCGTGAGCACTACCAGTCGGCAGAGTTCACCAACATCCCCTGCACACCCCAAGTAGCCACACGCTATGCCACCTCCTCTATCTGCAATCTTGTCGCATTAAATCGTGCCCCGACTTCGTCCTCTGGCTGCAGGTCATTGGTGTCTGCCTGGGGCTCAGGCTGCCCACTGGGAAGAGCCTCAAAAGGAGGTTGTTCTATCTTTTGTATTTGCGGTTTCAAGTGCAACTTTTGTTTCTGAAGTTCAGGTGCCAACGGGCGGTTGTGTGCTGCCTACCATCTCGAAGATTTAATAAGCCAAACCCTAAACCTCAAGCCCAAACACCCTAAAGCTTAAGCCCTGTACCTGAAAGCCTCCCAGGCCCGCAGCACGATGTTCTCTGGTTGGAGCTGACAGCGACGCAGTTGCACTTCAAGAGTGTGCAGTGTAGGGAACAGGTTTTGGGTTCTTTGGGCCTCAGGGCTTTGTGCTTGGGGCTCCAGGGGCTCAAGGTGTGGGGTACTAGTATTATTTACCATTATACTATTAGATACTATTAGTATTTCTATTTACTGTTACTACTTACTATTTACTACTACTATTACTGTTATAGTAGTACTATTGCTACTACTATATTATTCTTCGACCGCGAATGTATTGCTTCGAACTTCGGTCATCTACGAGTGACAGGCACGAAACTTGTCTACAGGGATCTTGGGGCAAGGGCCGAGAGAGTGCTTATGTCGAATATTGCTCCCTCGTGATACGCGTCCAAGTAAACGGCGGTTGAGGAAAGAGTTAGCCACAGTTCTCCTCGTCCAGACCTTGCAGCTCATCCCACTGTCCCCACCTCGGAGCTTTAACCCTCAACCCGCCAAAGCCTGCTACTCCAAGTGAAAGCGCCAGCTTTTCACTACCAGTTCTGCCTTGGGCCGCACTGCTATCCCTCCTCCGCTCCTTATCCTCCTCCGCATCTGAGGGTTTCAGTCCTCAGGTTTGGGAGCATCTGACCGTCTTCGCGCAGTTGCGGGGCGTGCCGCCCACAGAGGCCGCTCGCCGGCACTCGGTTCCTTGGAAATCTAGGATTCGTGTGTTAAGGATTTCGGGTTTTGCGTCCTAGTGCGTGACGGCAGTGCTTGGAACACCGACATCATACACCAAGGCGCACCCAAGAGAACACGGGTCTCTTTCCATCACGTATCCCGGTTTGGGGTTTATGGTGTGTCTGGTCAATTCCTCCAGCTTCCGCGCTTGAATTTCCTGCGCCGCACCGCTCACTCGCTGGATTCTCCAGGCAGGGGGGGTGCACGTTCCCTGCGCTAGTGCAACCTCATCGCACAGCCGGACATGCCAACGCGTATGTTCCCCGAACCTAGAACCCTGAAGCCAGGCCCTTTTGAACCATTGCCAGCCAGGTGCAGAGTCGTGCGGTCGAGATGATGCAACAGGCGGGTGGGGATGCTTCAAAAGTTGCAACAGACAGAATCCTTTCAAACTCCACTTTGCAAGCAAGGAGAGGACGTCGCAGTCGCAGTCTAATAAATGGGCCACATGCGGAAGTTTCACTAAAGAGTAGCAAGAAAAATGATATGACGCTTCCGGCACCAACAAGATTGAGTCAACGTGTATTCACCTGCCAAGAAACTCTGGCAGGGTGAAGGACACTCTTTTATTTTTGTTGAAGTGTCGCACCTGGACTGAATGACTCAGTCTGCAATCTTGTGAGAAGAGTCCGTGTGCCAACGTGTCAGCTTCATTAATGAGGTTAGCTTAATCTTTAATTCTCTTACATCTAGTGTAGGCTCGGAAGAAGCAATCATCGCCTTCGCAAGCGGCTTCAGTGTGAGAAGACGATCAAGCCAGCACTGCAAACCTCCTCCGTGGGTTGGGTTCCGGATTTTGGGCAAGGGGCCCCTAAGGCCTAGGACTCTGAATGCTCCATCCTGAACCCTCAAAGCCCCAAGCCCGAAGACCATAAACACCGCAAGCCTGGTCGCTTAAACCGTTTCCAAGGTAGGATTGACGGAGAAGGCGAAAACTCGAGCAGGCGCACAGCTGCATGTTCATGACATGCTTTAGGATTGTTAATTCTTCGGTTTGAGGTTCCGCTCATGGGGCTCCATAGGGTTTGAAGGGTCCAATGCCGAAGTTGCCCAATAGATTTCAACAGATCTTGGTCGCTGCAGGCTTGTGGTCTCGTTCAAGGTATCCATAGAAGCCCTCCACTGCGGCTCCAGACTGCTTCTGCCTTCTTAAATCCTCCTCCTCTCCTCCTCCTACTACCACTGCCGCTACCATTAACACTACCAGCTACCACCACCAGCTACCACTACCAGTTCCAGTCCCCACTACACCGTAAACCCACAAAGACGGAGCCGCTGCAATGGCTCGGCGAGGTGCTTTGTCAGGTGGTCAGAAGCGGAAGTTGTCTTTGTGCCTGGGCTATCTTCGAATCCGGAGACACCAATATCCCCTGCATAATTCGGAATTCCGTTGCAGGATCCGTGCTTGAGATGACGGACATACCAAACAAGGGTCCCTATTGTAAGTTAGAATTATGCTTCTGCCATACTTCGAGACATGTTTGGAATCAAGGGGTCTTGAGGTCGCTGGGAAGATGATGCGAGACTTTGAGCTTTGAGGGTGGCTTGGGTGCTAGAGGCATACATCGGCAAAAGACATGCTGTCCTTATCACGGTAGCCTAAACTAAGGTCTTTAGCCACAACCCAGTTTAGGCTTCGGTTCAGAATTTACGAAGTGCTTGATACGAGTCCAAGCCGCACAGAAAAGTCCGCTTTCGCCAAAGCCCGATAAAGCTTACGTTAAGAAAACCTTGGTAAATACCCTAACCCCCGAACGTCCTAAAGCAAAAACCCAAAAAATCCTAAGATCCCTTGTAGAGCCCCTCCAAGGCCTAAGTTGAAGGAGCCCTGGCAACTCCTGAGGTGCCTGGCCTTGATCGGACGGCCCCCCGTCGTCTTCCTCGATGAGCCCACTTCCGGCTACTTCGGCAGCCCGGGAAGTTTTCTAACAGGGTTTAGGGGAGTAGGGTGTGTGTACAGTTTAGGGTTTAGGGTTTAGGGGATTAGGGGCTTAGGGTTTAGGGTTTGGGGGATTAGGGGTTTAGGGGTGTTTCGGGGTTTAGGGTGTGTATTCTTCTTGCACCTGTTGATGCCCTCTATCCATTTTGACGAAAGCTTTGAAAGGAATGGATCCGTACAGCCGGCGATCGACGTGGAACATCGTCCGCTCTGCACGGGAGGGCCGCGTGGTCGTCCTGACGACGCACTTCATGGACGAGGCAATTCTAGATTTAGGGGGTTTGCATAAACAGAACCAAGCCTCGCTCCTTGACCCTGAACCCATGTCTGCGAAGGGCAGCAGTTGTTCTGAAACGCGTGCCAAACACTCGAGCTCCCAATCCTCAGCCCTCCCCCGTGGCCACCGCACTGAACCCATAAATTTAAATTAAAACCTTAAGCCCTAAACTTTGAAGCCATGTCGGGAGGCAGAGATTCTGGGAGATCGCGTTGCCATCATGTCCGAGGGAGCCATGGCCGCCCCAAAGGTTTCGGTCCAATTTTCTTATTCTTTCCATGAACATGACAGAACCTTGTCCAGTTTGATTCCTTCATGGACATGTTTCGGATGAGCAAACCAATGAACAAACTCCATTCTCTATGGAGAGTGGGGTTTGGGATTTCTTTGCTTTTTTTTCTGAGAGGGGGGGGGGCGGCCTCTAGTGGCTTAGGGTTTGAGGAGGTCCGAGCTCACTGCAGGCCAGTTGATGGTCTGCGGCTCCACATTGTTCCTCAAGGCACGGCGGTTTAGGTCTCAGGGGTCTTGCTTGCCATGGTGACGGTGTTTTGGGCTTGCGTTCCGATTGACATCTACATCTTGATATGCATCTGCCAGCAGCAGTTAAGGGCCGTAGGGGTGAGGGTAGGGTTGCCTCGTGTCAAGGGGGTGATCATGTTGCACTCTCGGGTTTGGCACTAAGCACAATGTCCTCACAGTACTGGCGCACATACTTAGCCAGCTTCTTGGAATCCGGTGCCCTGAGGCGCAACAGTCTGAGCAGCCGAAACAAGCAGCCGTGCAACACAACTGTCAAATGAGCGTGGTCATGCCAGACACGCCTACAGTTCGGACTGTGCGACACGATATCTATGTCGTGGGATGTAGTTCGCAGACCACTGCTCGTAGTTTCGCTCCAGCGCAGGCAAGCAGGCAACAGATGGCCACATGGCACAAGAAACCGGCGAAGATAGCACATTGGAGTCTCTGAGCCAACACCCCATACCCTGCAAGCACAAAGGCCCAAAAGCCAAAGCGTAAGCACCAAGCCCTAAACTCCGACCCCGACGCTCCGAATGCCGAAGCCAACCCCTGATGGCTTGGGCTTCGTCTTCCAACTTATCAGTTGTAAAGGCTCGATTCGGCGCCGGATATCGGCTGACGTGCGCAAGACAGGACCTGTTGGGGAGAGTTTTGCTGTACTGCTACATGCGGGTATCGGCGCCAGTACTTTTAGAATTAGGTTTTTTGTTTGGTGGTAATTATTTTTGTTCTTTCTCTTGTCGCTGGCGGTGTTAGTGGTGTTGGTCGTCCTGGCAGCGGTCGGCAGTAGCAGAAGCAGTCGCATGAGCAGTAGGAGCAGGATCGGAAGCAGCTGCAACGTAGTCAGACGTGAAGAGTATGAGCCTACAGTGTGCAGATTTCCCCATCCTATCACAGCGCCAAGCACCAAAAGGAACCCCAAAGCCTAAAATAAGGGCCTGAAGCCCTCTACCCTAGAGTCCGAAGCCCTCGACGATCTGCTAAAGCCTTCAGGCCGTAGAGATCGGACGCCTCCTGAAGCTTTGAAGCCTTAGCTTCAGGACATGGCTGCACCGCCCAACGCGGTCGACCCTATCGAAGATGCCACGGGGCCCAGCGGGGAGTTGAAATGTTGGGTCACCTTGATGACGTAAGGAGCTCATGTGAACTCCGATTTGGAACCATGAAGTTCAAAACCCGAAACCCGAAACTTGAAAGCCTAAAGCGTACAGCCTCGCACTGAACCCTGAAAGCCCTGGGCCTGAAAACGATTGAAATCGACTAAACTGAACACGAAAGCCCTAAACCTGAAAGGGGATTGCACCACTTGTTGACTTCCGACTGAGTCTGCTCGCGATGCCGAGGTCGTCAAGCGCCATATCCCAGAAGCTCGGAAGATCACAGACATCGGTGCAGAGCTGTCCATGCAGGTGGGGCTGTGCAGGCTTTTGAGGCTCTGGCGTTTGAATCGTGGTCGCATACTTGTTGGACATGGTTGAGGTATTTGTTGGGATCCAAATCGTGTTGGGATGGCAACGGGTGCAACCTGCAGTGGCCAATGTCATCAGTAGCGGAGCCTCCCAAACCATCCTTTGTGCTGCCTCCAAGTCTCCACCCGCTCCGCCATTCTGACCATCATCGCAACATGACTAGCATGATTCTGGCTATCATGCGCAACGACTGTTTTGCTGGGAAGCTGTGTGCGCCGCACTCCTGCAATTAAGTCGGCGAAGGGTGTGCGGTTCTCAGTTCAGCGTTTGCGGTTTCGGACAACTTCGGGCAGGATCGAAGGGGATGTTGCTACACCCTTTTTCAAGAACCGTGATTTCCGACCTTCTGGTCATCTCTGCCAACATTTACGAGCGAGTGTGAGGACTCTTGATACTATACCGCAACGACACAGTACACCCCAAAGCAGGACATCTTGAAAGACAGCTTCGACTGCTGACGACAGCCAGGAGGTCACTGAAGCACAAAGCTAAGCCGTAACCCTAAACCCTGAACCCGAAGCCCTGTAGACCCTTATCACCCTGAACCCTAGAAGCCGTGAGCCCTAAAGACCTTAAAGCCTAAACCTAAACCCCGAAGTCGCCAGCTGCCGTCGTCGAGCACCGGCAGCTTTCCCCCTCTCCTCAGGGAGCTTGATGGGTCTCGTGGTAGCATTTAGGCTTTAGGGTTTAGGGTTTGAGTCGAGGGTTTAGGATTTAAGGTTTTAGGGTTTAGGGATTAGGAGCAGGCGGTGTGGTGCTCTTGTTTCTCTTTCAGACTTGGGGGCAAGAAGCACCTATGGTCATGTGGACGACGACACCACTGGTAAGAGTAGCTGGTGTAGTGGTTCAGTCGTATGCTCGCGGAGATGGGCTACACTGATTCTTCCACTTGGCGTGATTCCCGGTGGCTGTAGGTCGCCTTGGAATTTAGTGTGGGGTTGTTGCACCCGTCTTCAGCCCCATTTGCGGA